AGGATCTCCAGTTTTGATCCCTTTCTGAGTGTTGGCATTGGTAGTCGGACACTATCTAGTTCTTCTGGTTTTGAATTCCATCATATCCTTGGACTAATTGTTTCCAAATGTCCTTGATTTTCTTCACTCTTCTTTGCTTCAGATGAGAGGAAGCCATTAGCTACATCTTAGGTGGGCATGCGAAAGCTTTTAAGACCCCAGTCACTAGTCAACAAAGTAGGTTGTGAAACAAGATTTATATGTATTATGTTGTGCCAATTGAGCTTGGTGTCCCCCAATACTATGGTCCTGAGTCAGCAGCCCTGGTGGTTCTCTCTCTCAAGGTGGTTGTCTCTGAGGAATTATTCCAACTCTGTCTTCTGTTACTTCTGTACTGATTGTGGCTATTTTGTACCACTAGTATCTATGCAAGATTATCTTCAGCTAAATCTATCATTCCTGCTTACTGACCCCCATCTGATCTTCTCAATTGTCTATGCATTTATCTGTAGCCTGGTGTTTGGTGTTAGTGGTAATGCAGTATTGTGCATATACTAGTATTTGCCTCTGTTGTCTATATCTTATGTGCACGTTTCGGCTTCCTTCCTTCTCTGATGTTATTATGTTCGTCACAGACTCTTTCCATACCAACTCTCCCCTTACCCAAATCAACATGTGGCCCGTAACTAGTCTGAAGTTTTTCCTCCCCTTCCCTCCCATCCACAGTAACCTGCAAAGTGAGTTCCCTTCTCTAAGCAAACCCTTCCTTGACTTTTTGCAGTAATCGGCTCATACTCAGTCGGCTTTTGCAGTCATCTGTGATTGACTTACTTCATTCAGCATAATGTCCTCTGGATTCATTCATGTTGTGAGATGATTCATGTATTTTTCATTATTCTTTAATGTAGCATAGTAGTCCATTGTGTGAATGTACCATAATTTGGTTAACCATTCATCTGTAGATGGGCATTTAGGTTGTTCCATCTTTTTGCTATAGTGAATTGTGCTGCGATGAACATGGGTGTGCATATGTCTGTTCATGTCCTGTCTGTCACCTCTTTAGGATATATTTCTAGTAATGGAATTGCTGGATCAAATGGTATTTGTATTTTCAGTGTTTTAAGGAAACGCCGTACCTTTTTCCACAATGGTTGTACCATTTTGCCGTCCCATGATGTAAACTCTTGGGACAACCTGCTTCTCCTGGCCAACTGGCAGGAAGAGAAGCATAGAGAGGAGTCTTGGCTTCCACTTTTTGGTTAGCTTGGAACTTACCATCTCACAATCACATTTAAAAGAGAAGAAAAATAAAGAAAAATGTAGTTTCGTTTTCCCACTCTGCCCAGGGTAACAAACATGTTTGGGTTGATAAATTCCTTTTATCTTTGCTGCATTCCTGCTGATGAATTTAATCTCAAGAGTGGTTAAGTGCCTTATACAATGTGACCTGTCAGTGACAGTATTTAAACCAGAATTTAAAGTTTTAGGAAATAAAATGTCAATTGTCTGTGATAATCATTCAGGTAATAATCATTTATAGAGAGGATAATGGAGGTGTTCTTAAACCTGTAACCTGATGTAGACTGTTGTTGTTGTTATGTGCCATTGAGCCGGACCCGATTCATAGCGACTCCTCCTTGGGTTTCCAGAGTGATACCACTACGGAAGTAGATTGCCCAACCTTCCTTCCGAGGAGTGGATGGTGGATTTGAACTGCCAGCCTTCTGATTAGCAGTCAAGTACCTTAGGCACTACACTACCAGAGCTCCCTGATGTAGACTAGGTGGTCTTTAGGGAACTTTGAAAGTGTCTTGTGATCAGTTATTGTACTTTTACACAACTGTGCAACCCTCTTGCATGCTAGTTTCCTATGTGTGCTATCTGTGTGCATTTTATGTGTGTGTGCATTATGTATATGGACATATTATTTGCAGAACATATGATCTATATATTGGGATGGAATTTATGAGCAGTGACTTTCATTCCACTAACTCTCTTAGCCTTTTTGTCTCAGGGCTCTTCTATATTAACTGTGGAGCATGCTCATTCATTAGTCATGCTTTGGGAATAAGATTTAAGAACAGAGAATAATGTAATTTGGAATTGTGCAGCTGATTTCTTATCTGGTCAGCTCTCACTCAGAACTTCTTTCTACACATCTGTTTTTTCTTTCTACACATCTATCCATCTATTCTTTGTATTAATTGATCAGTCATTCATCAAGTATTGACCACCTACTATGTGCCAGGCACTGTGTTAGGCTTTCAGTATACAGCAGTAAGCATGGAGAGAAAAGGTTCTCATCACCCACAAGTACATTATTTACTTTAAAAACATTCCTTGATGAGAAAGACATAGAGAGGTACATGGGCAGAACAGACAACAAATATGAACCCTTTTGCATATACAGTACTGAGTTGTCAGTGAAAGCAAACATGGGTATATGGACGGATAGATAGGTGGACAGGCTAAACAATTAGGTATGTCTAAATGGGGAGTGTATCCAAGATCATATATAGGGTTGGCAGACAATGGTCCTGTAAGTTTATGTGAATGATCAGAATTCCCAGGTGTATAGTAGAGCTGACAAGGGGCAAGGTTATGGTCATTGCTTGGTCACAGCCAGCTACCCAGAGCGACCGAGTAGTTGATCCTGTGGGCTTGGGACCATGGTTGCAGGGGACATCGAGTTCAATTGGCATAACATACTATACAAAACATTGTTCCACCTCCTACTTTGGCGAGTAGCGACTGGGACCTTAAAAGTTAGGAAGCTGCCATCTAGATGCAACAATGGGTCTCTCCTCGTCAAGAAGAAGAAAACCAAAATTAATGGAAACAATCAGTCCTAGTGACTGGTACACCATCCGATCTGCAACCTATACAACTATGAGACCAGAAGAACTAGATGGTGCTCGGCTACCACCGTCATCCACTTGGAAGGGATGTAGGAGATCCTGCATAGGGAGGGAGAACAATGTGGAACAAAACTCAAAATCATTTGGAGGCAAAAAAAAAAAAAAAAAAAGGTGGGGACCAGGTTTGCTGGTCCAATAGAGCCTGGTGGAACCACTGAGACTATGGCCCCTAGCTGCCCTTCAGGTCTGGAATTGAACCCACACCTGTGGTTTCCAGCCAAACATAGTACAGGCATGTGAGTTAAACATTTACCTCAAGTAGACACACACCCTGGAGAGAACAATCGTGGGAGAAGGAAGGGCTGCTTATGCACAGGGAGACAGCTCAGGGTACAGAAGAGTATGGAGGGATGGACACTGGGAAGAGGTAACTATGGGGAGGAAGTGGGAGGGGAGCTGTTGCATTGTAAATTTTGGTCAATGACATGAGACAAAGTATATGTGAACTGCTGTATGAAAAGTGAATTTACTCTGTAAATCTTCACCCAAATCAAAATAAAATTAAAAAAATAAATAAAAACATTCCTTGGCAGCCCTGGTTAACCTTGACACTGGCCAGCTGGTCAGATCTGACTGGAGCAGGAATCAGTACACTGAGGAGTGAGCCTTGATATCTCTGGGGTCTGGTAAATCTCTATTATGAAGACAGATAAATATCATTGGGTATCACTGTTCTCATTTGATATATATTTTTTTCATTTATATATGTGAATAAATAACAGTTGGGAATACAGTATCTTTGAAAGCTACTGTTCTATTAGTTCAATATGAATGATACCCCTTTTCCTTCTTTTTTCTCCTTAAGGGAAAACATGAAATTATTTTTAAAAATAAGGTAACTAAGAATTGGGGTTTACCTCCCTATTCACTACGAGTCTTCCAGATTAGACCTTTGAACTTTCTTTTTCTGAGTGTGTCCCTTTGACAAGACTTTTGTGTCACTCAGTGTTGAATTCTGCTGGGGCTGCACCTGAGTTCCTTAATGTTGGTACACCTTTTGGACTTTCACATTTCTGAAATTTTGTGCACCTTAAAATTGATGGATACTTAATGTGGTGTTGTTCGTTATTGTTGTTTTTCTAAACAATCTTCCTTCTGAGGAGTGGCGGGTGGGTTTGAACCACCAGCCTAATGGTTAGCAGTCAAATGCTTTAAGTATTATGCCACCAGAGCTCCTAATCTTTCATTTTTAGTCTGTGTGTTGAATGCTTATGTCCTCATGTTGAATCCAGATTAGTTTTTGCTTGGGTATTTTTATGATATTCTCTAGAGAGTTTTGAGTTTTGTAAACTAATGAGTGGATTACATCATGGCACGACCTATGTAGTGGTTTCTTTGGAGCAGTGTAGCCAGTGGCAATAATGTGTGTGTGTGTGTGTGTGTGTGTGTGAGTGAGAGAGAGAGAGAGACAGACAGAAAGAGAGAGAAATAAAAGGAGGGAGGGAGGAAGAAAATTGGGGGAGAGAGGAAGAGAGAAGGGGAGAGAGAGATCATAAATGTTTGGGGTTGATTCCTTAGTTTTCAGACTCACTTATGTTTCTTTATTACTGTAGAAATAATGTATGCTTATTGCACATGATTAAGAAAATACAGATGAGCTACAGAAAAAAAAAAAGCATAACAATATGCCATCTCAGAATTAGTCACTTTTAAGATTTTTAGTTCCTATCATCCCAATCTTGTGTGTGTGTGTGTGTGTGTGTGTACATGTGGTCATTTTTGTAAAACAGTGCCTATACTATAAATATTGTTCTATAAATTTTTATTTTCATATGTATTTTTTAAACATCTTCTACAACAACATTTTTAATAGCTTCAAATTTTTTATTGTATGGTTATATCATTTCTTTTGGAAATTAGTTAAAAATTATCTTTTTCTGCATTACCTTATGCTTTTTAATCTTGCAGCAACTGAGTGATAGAAAGAGCCGTTTTAAATTCCAGATCACTGAACTGGCTCCCTTCTCCCGCTACAGCCAGTGGAGTGTGTTATGTACTACCGCGGCTCCACCCTGCAACCCCTCATCTCCACATACCGCCATAGAGTCCTGTGAAACTGATCACTGCTGACAGCTCATCTACTTCTGTTGTTGCTTCTTATAGGAGACAGAGCACATGGTGCCTGGCCAGTCGGAGTGTCAGGGGAGAACAGGAACACCAACTCATGAGAATCCACAAAACAACACCTTCAGGTGCCAAGAGACAGTGCGGCTTCAGCCAAGGTGGGCCCATTGTGTAAGAAGTTGTATTGTGTCTGGGATTCATTTCACAGAAATGCTAATGCATGCATCTGCCACCTCTATACAGGGTTCAGGCTTTCTAGCTTTGGTTGGTGTTACGTATAGTCAGAGAAGCTCCTTGAAGGAGTCTGGAAGGAGAATCCTTGAGTCTGAGCTTAAGGGAAAAATAAAAAACCTACTTTCTTTGTCTTTAGTTTGCCAATATTCAGCGGTAAAGCTCAGAGGGGAGGGAGAACAGGCTGGCTTTATACTTTCTGCCCTCTTTCACTCTATGCTAGAAGTGACTAGGTTTTCCTTCATGATACTGATAATTAGAAATGATTGCAGGCGTTATGCCAGGTGCTTTTTGGCTGTTATCTAATTTAGCCTCTACAACCTCCTCATAAACCTGGAACTCTCAGCCCCATTCTATGGAGGAGTAGCACGAGGCTTGCTGAGAAACAGTAAAGTACTTGCCTGTTGTTGCACAGGTAGTAAAAGGCTGAGCCAGAAGTTGAACCTATAAATGGTCTTATGACATGGCAGACACAGCTTCGGTGTTGACCCAAGTGGCGCCATAAAGCTCTGATAAAGCCTTTGGACAGGCTCTCTGGTCTACTAGACTTACTGGAGTCAGCCCTGAGCCAGGGTAAAGGCATAGGTAGAAAGCTGTCTGCATGGCATTATGATGGGAGATTGGCATTGCAGCTGTCTGTGGAAAGTATCTTCTGGAAATAAACAGAAAAAAAACCCTCAAGCTCTTGTTGTATCAGCTGTCTTTGTAGGATCTTGTGTACAGATACAGTCATAGCCCTCAGTCACTGGAAAGGGAATGTTGTACTTCTCAGCATGACCTTTAGAAATTTTTTTCTAAAGCAGCATATTTTAAGTAAATCAACAACTCCAAGAAAGATAGTTTTAAAAATGCCTAGCATACTAAATCTAGAATCAAAAATCCCAAGTGGACACCTCTGACTTCCAGCCAACAATAGATAGGCATGTGAGTTGAACATTTACCTGAGGTAGGTATACTCCTTGGAGAAAACAAGCATGGGAGAAAGAAGGGCTGCTTATGCACAAGGAGACAGCTCAGGGAGCAGGAATGCATGGAAGGAGGGCCACAGGGAAGAGGTAACTGTCAGGAGGAAGTGAGAGGGGAGATGTTGTATTGTGGTAAATTGTGGTCAATGTCATGAGACAAAGTGTATGTGAACTGCTATATGGAAAGTGTATTTGCTCTGTAAATTTCCACCCAAATCAAAATTAAAAAAAAAAAAAGAATCCCAAGTGGATGTAGGAGACCCTAAAGATAAAATGATCCACTCTTCAGTTGTATTCGTGGATACTTTTTATAGCCTTTTTCACAAGTTTGCCACCTCTGATGTGCTTAATTCTTACCTCTTGTCAGGTAATACCTGTTGGACTCCACTTGTCATTTCTCTGCTTATCAGTATATTCTTCCTCCTATTTCAGTCCTTCTTGTAATGAAGTTGTTATAAGTTAGCCAGGATCAATTTTCAGGAACACTGTTGGTACAGTAGTTAAGCACTCAGATGCTAACCAAAAGGTTGATGATTTGAACCCACCAGCCACTCCATGGGGAGAAAGATGAGGCAGTCTGCTTCCATAAAGATTTACAGCCTTGGAAACTCTATGGGGCAGTTCTACTCTGTTCTGTAGTTTTGCTATGAGTCCTAATTAGCTTGATGGCAATGGGTTTGGTTTGCATTATAATTAGTTTAGGCGTGGACCCTGTGCTCTGCCACCATCCTGATGACTGCCTCTCTTAGTTACAATACCAAAAAACAGAACAAAACAAAACAAAAACCCAAACCAAACTCACTGCTGTTGAGTTGGCTCCGACTCATAGCAACCCCTCCTTGTGTTTCTGAGGCGGCATCACTAAGGAAGTAGATTGCCTAATCTTCCTTCCAAGGATCAGCTGGTGACTTTGAACCACCAGCCTCTGGTTAGCAGTCAAATGCCTTAGGGCCCATTATATTCACATGCATGTTTTACATATTTCAAAATAGTAAAAAGCAACACAAAAACAAAGTTATTCATATATATGGGTAGAATGTGTGGTGGTTCTTTGGGGTGGATATTGGACAATGGCTGATATGAAGACAGAATATTAGTAATTCACTTTCTCAAAGATGCTGATGTTTGTTATGTTCCATCTGTGGTGG